GGGCCCAGTACGATCCCCTCCGGCCTGGGAGCCACCTCGCCCCATCTGCGCGGTCTGCGCCGGCTCGGTGGGTGGAGCCCAGGTCCAGCGCCTGGAACCCTCGGCCAAGTGGAGAGATGCGGGGCGGCCCTGCGCCCTCAACCGAGCCCAGCCCAAGCCTGCCTGTAGCTCGTGCACTGCCAATCCCAGGCCCGCCCTTGGTGACTTGCGGGCCTTCCTCCTGATGAAGTTAAATACAACAACTACACGTGGTGCTGAGCTGAACTCCTGTCGCAGCTTGCTCCAAAGTGGCTGAGTGGCTGGCTGCTGCTTCCCCCAGGCCCTGGCTGACTCTTCCCTGATGGGAGCGGCTCTTCTGCACAGGGACGCAGGTCCCATATCCACACCTGGCCTCTGCCGGCGGTGGCCGAAAGAAAACAGCGTACATCGCCCGGTAGCAGAAGTGGGCACTGACCACAGCGAATTGAGCTCACTGTTTTCAGATTTTTTTCTTCTTTTTTTTTTTATAGAGAGGCTTCCTATGAAGCCCAGGCTGGCCCTGTACTCACTGTGTAGTCCTGGCTGGCCTGGAGCTCAAATTCATCCTCTATCCGCAGCCTGCGGAATTCTTGGGATTACAGATGTGCACGCCACACCTGGCTTAGGGTTTCATTAGAAAAGTAAAACTCCTTGGGACAGGGATTTAGCTCAGTGGTTCTGCTGCCTGCTTTGCAAGGGCAAAAGTCCTGAGTTCGATCTCCAGTACCAAAAAAAAGAAAGAAAACTCCAGAATTCCTAAACAGGACTGCATAGAGGGTCACCAGGGCTGGGGACTGATGCTTGTGGGTGGTGCCCTGTCTGCCCACCTCCACCTGTGTGCAGCCCTGTTCTGTCAGCATCAGTGCTGGTCCCTTTGTGCACCAGTTTTCCTCTTTGCTTTTGGGGAATGGAGAAGAGCCCAGAGGGGACTCCTGTTGTGGAAGTGGGGCATTGAGTCGTTGGTGCCCCTCCTTGGTATGACCCACTCTGGCATCCCGAGTGGGACTCCAGCCACTTGGGTAGCCCAGTGGCCAGCAGTGCACCAGCCTTCTGTGCCCACTCACTCCCCTCTTCTAGGCCCAGTGGGATGGGGGTATGGGGAGTGAGGAGTGAGGGCCTGGCTGTCTCCCCTGGAAGGGAAGGCACAGTGGACGACAGAGCCAAGAGAGCTCCTGAGGCACCCAGCTCCGGGGTGTGCAGGGCCGGGATGAGCAGACAGACGCACAGACACCACTCTGCTGTTCTGCCTGGTCCTCCAGGCCACCAGTGCGGCTTTGTTTCATTAAAAAATAAATGGCTCCTTAGAGTTCTTTACTTCTGGATGGTGCCAGGTGGCGAAGTGGTACTTCCAGCCGGCCTGGCAGGCTTGGGAAACAGAAAGTGGTTCTGGGACCTCACTTCCTTTGCAGGCAGAGCAGCCCCAGTGCTGGCTCTGTACCCTGAGCAAAAACTTTCTGGTAAGTTCAGTGTATTCACAAGCTGTTGAGTGGCCTGTGTACATCATGAGTGAAACAGAAATGAAATTCTAGGAATGGCTCCTGTGCCTGCTTTTCTTTGTGAGCCTTGTGCTGTGGAGCCATCTTTGCCCTGCACCCCTAGCTCCAGGACAGGCTGAGCCCCACACTCCAAGGAGGGCAGAGGACGGCTTCACGCCCCCATACCCCCTGTCCAAGGCGCTCCTCTTTGGCTGCCCAGGCACTGTTCTGCTTTGCTGTGTTCACCAGTGCTGTGTAGCTCCTGTAACATATGGGTGTGGTTTTGTGGGGTTTTTTTTTTGGTACGGGGATTGAACTCGGCCCCTTGCACTTGCAGTGCAGGTGCCAGAACCACTGAGCTAAGTCCCTGGCCCTGTGGGTGTGGTTTTTACCAGCTGCATGAGAACGATTTTAAAGCAGATGGATTTCCTCCTAGATGTATTCAACCAGCTTTCCTGGCATTAATCTGGAGGACTCCAGCATTGCACTGTTGCCTACATGTGGATGCTTAAAAAGTGGAAGTTAAAAATAAATTCTGTGTAAAATAAAAGTCATATGACTGACTCTGAACTGCTGGAGAATTTTAAGAATTAGGTTGGTTCTAATGACCTTAAAAAAACCCCACCGGTTACCCGAAGACTTGATGTCACACTGGTGGCTGTAAAGCCCTGTTTCTGTCTTGCAGGAGGGTGTGAAGACCGAGAACGACCACATCAATCTGAAGGTGGCGGGGCAGGATGGCTCAGTGGTGCAGTTCAAGATCAAGAGGCACACCCCACTGAGCAAGCTGATGAAGGCCTACTGCGAGAGGCAGGTGCGCGGGCTGGGCCTGCTGGTTGTCCCCCAGGGGCCCTGAAAGCGCCTCTCCCTGGGTTTCTGTGAATCAGCCATCTGCCAGGCATCCTCCAGGGTGGGCTGCTCTTCAGGGACTGCATAAGTCCTGGTGCTGACCACTGGTGGTATCTTTGCTTTAATTAATTAATTAATTTATTTATTTATTTATTGGTACCTGGGATCGAACTCCGGTCCTTGCGCTTGCAAGGCAGATGGTGGAGCCACTGAGCTAAATCCCCAGCCCCCTTGCTTAAATTTATGAATTTCCCAGAAATGGCAAATGAAGCATTCTTCTTCGCTTCTTTTTTGGAATATGCCTGTAGAGCACTGTCCTTGTTGATGCTTTGGTTTTTCTTCTGCCTAGGAAAGGGAAGAAAATGCTTTATTCTTTGACTTTACTGGATTTCAAAACAGCAAGCGACCAAGTAGGTTAGCCGTTTCTGGTTGGCGCTGACAGTGTTCTCTGACACCATTAGGTTCACATTGTGCTTTGGTTCATCTGTTTATTTTGTTCTCGCTGAGATCTATGTGTGTGGGCCCCCTTTGGCGGAGGTATCTCACCTCATCCTCTCTGTCCCTCAGCTGTGGCTCAGAGGTGCTGCACTCTGTCTTTAGTACAGGGCCAGAGTACAGGGCTGGTCTCCTCTGCCCTTGTTTGGCTTGGTCTGCTTGTTGCTGTTTGTGTGTGTTTCTGGGTGCAAGTCACTAATTGGTCACCCCAGTTCCATCCTCTTCTGCACTGAGACCCGCGTGGAAGGGCACGTGATGCCACTGCCAGGCCATCTCTGCTTCCCAGGGTCCTCTGGGAGCCTCCTTCCTGCATTATTTGGGTCAGTGTTACCCTGTCTGGTGGCATAGCCTCATCTCATCAGAAATAGGAAGCTGAAAATGACCTTAACACTTGGGTATTTGGCTACATGTAGACTTCCAAGTTGCAGTCCATTTTCTTCTGTGTAAGTTACTGTGGTTTTGCAATACTGGGGATTGAAGCCAGGCTTCCTCACTGAACTGCGTCCCCAACGCTTTTTAATTTTTTGAGACAGAGTCTTGCTAAGACACTGAATTGCCCTTCCTTGGCTGGTACTTACAATCCTCTTGCTTCAGCCGAGATTATAGGCGTGTGCCACCACATCTGGTGACATTCTGATTCTCTTCCTGTGTGTGTCCCTTGGGTTTTCTCAGGAAGTGTCAGGGCCGTCTCCTGCCCTGGCCAGCTGAAGGTCTATACCAGGTGTTTGTCTTTGGGGTGCCTTGAGGGCTCCTTCCGTCTAGAGACTTATTTTCAGCTTCAGAAATGTGACTATGAGTTCTTTGATAATCTGTGTCCTTTTGTAGTTTCTATTCTCCCTAGAATTTCTTGTTCTCCTGCAGTTGACTGTCCTCAGTGTTTTCATTTTGATCACTTTTCCCCATTTTACTTTTCTTTTCTGGGAATTTTTCTTAACTTTATTTCATTTATTTATTTATTTATTTTTGGTACCTGGGATTGAACTTGTGCTTGTGAGGCAGGTGGAGGCACCACTGAGCTAAATCCCTGGCTCGCTTGCTTGCTTCTGGCTCTCTCTGTCTGTCTTTTTCTTCTTTTCTTTTCTTTTAATTTTTATTTTGTTTTGAGACAGTGCCTCACTATGTAGTTCAGGCTGGCCTTGAACTTGCAGTGATCCTCTTGCCTCAGCCTCTGGAGTGCTGGGATTACAGTTGTGCGTTACCATTCCTGCTTGGCCATTCTTATTTCTCTGGTGATTTTTACTTTACAAGAGTTTTTTGCCCCCTGTTCTTTTGAGTTTCCTTTTTTTTTCCAAAGGGAACTTGCTCTTGTGTTCTGGATATATGTGCATTGATTTTTTTTTTTTTTACCTAAGAGCTCTGAGCTTGCGCGCGTGTGTGTTTAATTGCTCTGCCTCTTTCCTTCCTGTCTCTTCACTCCCTTTCTTTCTTTTTTGGTCTGACTCATGTTGACATTTTTCCTTGAACAAACGTCCTCTGCTCCTTGTGTTTGAGGGTGTGGCCGCAGGGGCTGCCTGGCCAGGCCTGGTGGCCATGTTGGAGGGGCCCAGACACTGTAATCTGAGAGTAGCTCCAAGTGTTCCGGAAGTGAGCTGAGGGGCTGGGGTGGGGCTGGCTTTTTTCTTGCTACTGGCTGGCCACTTGTCCCTGGTGTCCTGAGCTCAGAGCTCCAGGAAGTAGATGTAAGGTCTGTGGTCATCACGGGACAGTTGCGGGGAGCGGCTAGCTGGCTGGCTGGCCTGGGCACATGGCTGTGAACTTTGAAGGAAGCATTCTGGTCCGTGCCCAGGTGCTCCTGGCCTCTCCACCCCAGCCCGCAGCTGTTGCCCCTACACCGCAGCGCCCAGGGTCCAGTGCCCAGAATCACAGCGTCTGTCTGCCGGCCTCCCCTGCTGTTCACTTTGTCCCTGGGGAGTGCTTTCATTTATGTCCTTTCCGCATGGCTTCTAGAGGGCTTGGAGTTGCTGTTTTAACCCAGCTTCTTGATAAATGATTGTGCCTGCCCCAGCCATGTTCACTGCCCTTGGACTGGACAAGATGGGCTCTGCCTTATTTTGGCTGGAAAGTGCCCCTCCTTCCTGCGTCCTGTGGCTTCCTTTACCTCGGCCCTTGCTGTCACCTGACTTGTTTCTCTCCAGGAACTTTCTGAGAGGGAAGGGCGGTGCCAGCTATGTAGAAGTCCTGCTGGCTTCTGGGAGAAGAGGGAGCTGGGCAGACACGCACCAGGAGTGAGATGTGAGGAAGGTGGCCTCTGAGGGTACTGGTCAGGACACTGCCTGAAATAGGCCGGGGCCACAGTAAGCGTTTCTGCTCACCTGGCTCATAAATGTATATATTCAGAATTCTGGTATGTTGATTTTTTAAAAAAATTCAGCTGTGAAGGTTTAACAGTAATTTTGTTTTCTTTCCAGGGCTTGTCAATGAGACAGATTAGATTCAGGTTTGATGGGCAGCCCATTAACGAAACAGACACTCCAGCACAGGTACGTAGCTGGCCATGCACCGGCTGCCCCAGGGGCACCCACACCGTGGCCACGTGGGAAGCACTTGAGAGTTATTGATGGACGGATAGAATGCCTAGTTCTCTCTCTCTCTCTTTTTTTATTTTGGTACAGGGGATTGAACACAGGACCTTGTGCTTGCAAGGCAGGTGTGGCAGCACTGAGCTACCTCCCGGGCCCTTAACAGTGGTTTTATGGGTTTGCCCCCAGTTTTCCTTGTCAGTACTTGTTTGCAGAATATAAGAGTCACATTTCTCCAGGGGAGTTGGCACATGTCCATAACACATCTCAATTCTTTGTTTTCATTCCCTTTGCCATCCCTAACCCCTCCCCACTTGCAAAAGATCTCATTTTTTCCTGCTGGTCTTTTATTTTGCTACTATATTTTGGGTTTCTCATATAAGAGAAACAATGTAACATTTAATCTTGTGTGTGGTCCTAACTTTTTTATTTTTTTATTTTTTTTTGAGACAGGTTCTCACTATGTAGTTGAGACTGACCTGGTGTAGCCCAGGCTGATCTCGAACTCACAGTGAGCCTCCTGCCTCAGCCTCCTGCGTGCTGGGATTAGAGGCATGTGTCACCACGCCCGGCTTTGTTTTAACTTTGAATTCGCAGATTTTAAAATTTTGGTGTTTTGAGATGAGGTTTTTCATTTGAGAAAATGGTTCTATCACATGTCACCCGTGGTCCCCAGTTGGGGGACCTGTGCTCTCAGGGCACCTGGTCAGTACCTGGGCACTTCCCAGGAATCCCCAGGGAGGCTGGGCAGAAGCTCCGTCCTGCCAGTTGTCCGCACTCTGAGTTCACAACTTTAATCAGTCTGTAGCTGGGCGCTGGATTCCGTTCCTGTACCCGTAAGCGTTTTCACAGGCGAGGGTGGCAGGGGTGGCATCATGCCCCATCGTCACCCTGACTGCAGGGCTAAGCGCCTGCCTACCTCAGCTTCCGTCTTGGAGCTACACACGCTTCACACTTGAGTTCAAGTGGCAGCCCTTGCTGTCGCCACTTGGGAGTCCCAGTTTTGTTGGTGTAAAATGGGGACGGTAGCTTTTTCTTTCTCCCTTACAAGGTAATAGTCAATGGGAATATTTTATGTAAAAATATTTTTGCAGAACATTTATTGAAAATAATTCTGCAGTATTTAATTGCTAGCTGCCTTTGGAACTCAACCCCCCTAGATACAGTGGTGGGCTTTCTGAGAACCCTGAGGGAGTGAGCAGGGTGCGAAAGGCCTGGAGAGGAGCTGGGCTGGTAGGTGGGGGTTCGCTGGCTCAGATGGTCACCCCAGCAGGCCTGGTGTCTGCACCCCCAGAAGGACTTGTCCCCCTGAGAAGACTGCAAAAGTGTTCCCGCTCCCAGCCAGGGCAGGCCCTGGGCAGACCATCCCTTCTGTTCAGAGTGAGAACGCTCAGGGAATGTTTTTGTACTTGATTTATCGGAAGAGAAGCACATGGGCAAGGCTTACTGGCCTCTATCCTGGCGTTGAAGGCAGGGAGGGCCCACAGCGAGTCTGTCTTCATGGCCCTTATTTTTGGCCCGCTGCCCTTGCCGTAAAGCACGTGGCTCATGCAGGCTAAACTGGCGGCGCTTCACTGGGATCGGAGTCTGTGTGCTATGGTCAGTGTGAAGTTTAAACATGTCCGTTTAATTATTTTCCTTTTGGAACCAGGGATCGAACTCAAGTCCTTGTGCTTACAAGGCAGGCGGCAGAACCACTGAGCTAAGTCCCCAGCCCCATGTCAGTTTAATTTTAATGACTGTTTTCCTGACAGTTAAAGTTCTTAGCTGTGACTTTTCCTGCATGAGCTTTGTAGGGGAAATTATTTGGATTGATAGTGGGGAGGTAGTTGTGACACCGCAGCGTGACAAAGGGTGGGCAGGCTGCCTCTAGTGTGGGGGAGCGGGTGGGGTGCCTGTGTCCATTCACTTTCTTCTGACATCTCTGCACTCTCTCACTGGGCCTGGCCACTGTGACTGACAGCTGGAGATGGAGGACGAGGACACCATCGACGTGTTCCAGCAGCAGACGGGAGGTGCGGCCTCCAGAGGGACCGTCCCCCACCCTGCATTTGCTGTGGAGTGGTGAGCGCACGCCCAAGCTGATCACCGGAGTCTGGGAAGCCAAGGACAGTCACCGAGCACCCACCTCTGTCGGGTGCACTCGCAGTGCAGCGCAGAACTGCATCTACAGAGACGCGTCTACAGCTTCAATTGGGCCAGGTTGTTTTTTGATTAGATAACATGAGTTGTGAGGTTTTTGTTTTCATTTTTTTTTTTTCTCCCCTCCAAAACATTTTTCTGCGAGAGCTGTGACCGAGTGGCGGCTCTCACCCTGGAGTGGACTGCTCCTGAGCTGCCTGTCGTAATCATGTAGACAGCGCGTGCTCTCCCAGGGAGTACGGCTGTGGGATGGAGCAGGGTTCCACTTGCTTTTTGTTGTAGATACAGGTTACTACAATTGCAGCTTCAGACTCCATCAGGCAAATGGTTAAGTTGAAGGGAAGAACTGGACTGCTTCCTGAAAAGGAAAACGTACGTGACAAGTCATAGCGTGATCGGGCCGTGTCCCCTGGGCCCTGAAGCTAGGATGCCGTCCCTCTGGTCAGTACCTGGTGAAGGGTACCCGGGCAGAGTTACCAGCTTTTCCCCTTTTCGTAACACAGAATAAAGTAACTACCACATTTCTCATTTGGTAATTGTATCGTGGCCTCTGATGAATAATTATGGTCTTCATATAAACATAAGTTTCCTGAATTTGCAGTTACATTTCTGTGTAAAAGAGCTACTTCAAAGTGTGGTCGCAAAAGAAACCATGGAAAGGTGACTGTGTTCTTCTCATGGATCCATGCTCCGCCGCTTTCCAGTTACGTGTTGATGTCATGCATTAGTCCGGTGACTCCAGTTCTGTGACGTGTTGGGCTCTATACCAGTTACAATGTTCATAGCTCTGCCTGTTGTCCTTCTCTAAGGATCCACTGCTGCTTGGCAGCCTTTCTCTGACTTTCATGGTCACCTGACAACGACCTGCCATCTCTTGCTTGCTTAAAATTCTGCAAAAAGTGTTCTTTGTTTTGCTGTATGGGCTCGGGGTGGGTTGTTTGTTGGCTCTGTTGTGTTTATTCACCAATTTGTACATTATTTGTTGTCCTTTACTACTGTAAACAGTAAATATAGTTTGGTATTCTGTCTCTTGGCTCACATTAAACACTGCGTTTGGCGTAGGGCGAATGTCAGAGCTCAGTACACATATTGACTGTGCAGCAGGCCACTCAGAAATGGACTCCAGAGATGTGGAAAGCCATTTGACCTGATGGCCCCGACATTGCCCAAGCTGGGCCACATTTCCCCTGCCAGCCAGCTGATCTGAACTGCTTTTTTTTTTTTAAATTTTTTTTAAAATTTTTTTGTTTTTTTTGAGACAGGGTCTCACTATGTAGTTGAGACTGACCTGGAACTCACTATGTAGTGCAGGCTGGTCTTGAACTCAGCAATCCTCCTGTCTCAGCCTCCCTAGTGCTGGGATTACAGGCATGCACCACTGTCCTAGCTGATCTGCACTGCTTACGATGATGACACTCAACTCATCCTGCTGGCCTCGGGTTGGGGGTAGGTGGGTCTGGGTGTTAGTCTAAGTTTTAGGGCATCTTAATATTTCTGCTGTTTGAATATTCTATTTTATTTATTTTTTTGAAACAGGGTCTCTGTAATTCAGGCTGGTCTTGAACTCACTGTGTAGCCCAGGGTGACCGCGAACTTGCTGGAATCCTCCTGCTTCAGCCTCCTGAGTGCTGCTGGGACTACAGGCACGTGCTTCCATGCCCAGCTGAATGAATTTTTTTTTTGGTACCGGGGATTGAACTCGGGTCCTTGTGCTCGAGAGGCAGGCGGCAGAACTACTGAGCTAAATCCCTGGCCCTCGGCTGAATATTTTCTTTTGTGACTTTGATAGCCTACTCATGTCAATTTGAAAATGAACTGAAGTCTAGGTATCTGAGATGTAAAGCCAGATTAAGAGTCAACAGTGACCAACAGTTTTGGTCAGTGAGCCAGGGGAGCACAAGGTGAAAGGTGGTGGGCAGCGGGACACAGTGCTCTGAGTCACTGGGCAGCGGGAGGACATGGGTTAAAGCACGGTGCAAACGGCCGTTTGTCACATCCTCTATGTAACAGAAAGGCTGTTGAATCCAGCAGAGTCCATAAGGAGAGGGACGAATTTCAGGGCCTTTCAGTCAGGTGAGACTTGCAGCCAAGAAGTTGCCTGCCTATATGTTAAGTTGCTCCAGCTTCCTCTGCCCTGATGTTAGCAGAAAGAGCAGCGTGTCTTCCAGACCTTCATTTTAGAAAAGTACCTGAATTGTGCATTTGGAATAGTAGATTTGCTGGTATTGGGAGATAGCATTTGTTTTTCAGTGGTGTGGCTGCAACCCTGGGCCTTGTGCATGCTGTAATACTGACCTACGTTCCAGCCCAATATTTTAGAAAACATTAAATCAAATAATTTAATACCCAGAATCTTAGGATTCAGTGGATGCCTCTGGGTGATAGACCCTACTTATCCCTGTATGGGTTTCCAGGGTCCCAGCTGGAGCCTTCTGGATTTTAGCACGGAGGCTCCACGTTTCAGGATCCCCACAGTCCCAGCACTGCAGGGGTCTGCAGCTGTGCTGTGCACCGCACCCGCTCCCACTCAGGTGGAGAAACTGCTTTCCTGAGGCTGTCAGGGCACTGGTCAGCTGGGACACTGTGCTCCGGACCTCAGCTGACACTCAGAGCCACCTCCCCTTGTCCTTGTTTGGAAAAGCCACTGTTACCCGCTGCTCACAACCCTTGTGGTCCAGGTTGAGAGTTGCCAGATGTACCAGGTTAAAGCAGAACTGCAAATAACTTCATGATGACCCTGAGGGGGAAGTTAGGGAGGTCCTGGGGCTCTGAAGATCAAATCCCTTGTCCAGCTGTGCTGATGTGAGATTTGCATCTGGCTTTCACAACCCGTTTTGTCTTTTGGGGGGCGTCTTTTTTTGCCATTCAAGGCTGGAACTCATCCTGATACAAACTGTAAGCCAAATGTCTGAAAATGAGTGGAGGACACTGCTCTCTAAGAGCAGGATGTCTGGAGGAGAGCGCTGCAAGTGGAGAAAACAGGAAGCATCAGGTAACTGCTGTTGGTGGTCTTGATGCCCACGCTTCCAATGGCTGGAAAGAGGCGCAGACCCAGCGGGGCAAGGAACTGCGGGCTTCCCTGAGGGGAGGCAGACCGAGAGCTTGGCTAGGGCAGCGTGTCCGCAAACGCCCGGACGCGTGTGGGAAACGGGGTCCGGCTTACGGGGAGGGGCGCCACGTGGACCGCGCCTGTGCGCCGCGCCCC